TTTTTTTTTCAGGAATAAGAGAAGGTATAAAAGCATTGAAAATGCCTTGCCCATCAACTTATCAGTGGATTAGCAAGCTCCACACACCTGAAGACATTGTAGAAGTAATATATTTACATAGGGCATCCAAACTATTTAATAAGGAATATTTCTCTCTGTGTGCCATTCGTGGAGATTGAAGCAAGCAAGGGGATGAGCCAGAGTGGGGATGAGAAGATTGCAAAGAAATGTAACTAAAGAAATAGGCAACAAAAGCTACTTATTTCATCGGAAACTTCACTGAAAAAATTGTCATTTACACTAGTACAAAGTGCATTGGTTCCAATAACTGCTACACTGTCGTTTACCGTAATTGTAGTCCTCTAGTCCATGGCTGGATAAAACTTTGAAATACGAACCTTCGTTTTCGCTCTCCAATATTCATATTTCAAATTCAGAACGGGAACAGTTTATAGAGTACGAATCTCGTTTCTACAACGAGGAAAAGGGTACTCAATCTTGTATTTGGATCCAAATTCCCCACAATTTCGAGAAACCCAACAAATGCTACCTAAAGCGCACTGAATTATATCTCGTCAAAGAGAAAACATCAAATTGCATCCGCGTCGATTGGGTAAATAAAATATAGTACGTTATAGTAACTTCCTAATCAACCAAACAAACGGTAATAAGGACAAAAATGTAAATCCAACTCGTTCACTCTAGGGACATAGATATACAAGAAAATGCGTATATACAAATGGAACACAGAAATGGTGGCCGAAGATCTAAAAAGCAATGAATTACCTGAGATGCGAAGAGGAGCAAAGCCGGTCAACATAGGCAGGAGCAAAACCAGAGATCTAGGGAGAGATTAAAGAGCTTCATTTTTTGGCAGTGCGCACTCGATCTGCCATCCATGGCCTTGGTGCAAATCACAACGAAAAATGCCCAGTAAACAAGAAATCGTGCATAAACTATGAATCATCAAACTGAAAACGGATCCACGGGAAACTAGAATTACCTAGATCAGAACAAATTCGAAACCAAAATGATAGAGAGGCGGCGTCGGAATAGGCACGGCCAGAACAGCGGTCCGTTTTAGCGTCTACGACAGTGCAACTGGAGGAGGGAGGGGGAATTGTGAAGAAGGAAAGAGAGAAATTTTGAGAGACAGAAAGGAAAGTGTAGTACTTGAAATATGAATTTACATTTTATTTTTCTTTTTGCATTGAATTTACTCCTTCAATATTTTTAAAAGTCTTTATTATATATTATTATAACTTGTAACTAGGTAAAAATAAATAAATAAATAAATAAAATAGTTCATCCTATTATCAAATTTTTTATGCAATAAAAATTTATTGACGGAATTCTCCTTGTAATGGTTTTAAATAGTTTTAAGATTTTTTTATTTTTTTTCCTTCCAATTTCTATACGGTGGTTTTTCATATTTTTATTAAATACGAGTTTTTAATTAAATTCTATAAATAAAAATAATGGTAACAAAACAAAAAAAATTTGTTGTTGGGAGTGATGTATTAGCTTAATTTTCAATATTCTAAAACTTTCCATTAATTTAATAATACTTAGTTGACGATCGAGTTGTGATGATTGATGGCATGCATAGTTGAATCTCCAAATTAAGTTCTTGGTAATTTAGAGGCGTGGTTTTCACTTATTTGTTTTAATAATTTTTAAGATTCGAGCAAAAATAATTAAATCAGGATTTAAACAAAATTACAGAGTATTTGTATGTATTTGTATCTCACAAGTCATAAAAAATGAGTGTTATAATGAAGCATATCTAGAGGATGTTGTCTAGAATGTCTCTATGTTCAAAATCATACAACCAAAGCAGAGTAATCAAGGCAACGTCTATTGACATTATTGTTTGGATGTATAGAACCTTCTTTTGAATGAATTATTCTTAAATAATGTGTGGATTAAATTATAATGATTTGGGTTGTTTGGGTTGAGTTTAGTTTTAATTTTATATTTTTTAAACCTAAGCTCCCACAAAGGAACAAAAAGCAAAGAATATGTTCCTGAAAATCAATACAGCACTGACAAATAAATGTGAGATAAATTCGTTTTGGGATTTACAATTTGTGATTGGAAACGGCAAGATTTAGAGCTAATCCAAATTCAAAGATGGCGGAGGCAGGCGTCAGTTCCGGAAATTCCCGATGGTCTCTCAAGGGCTTCACAGCGCTCGTCACTGGCGGCACTCGTGGAATCGGGTCTGCTAAATTTCTAACTCTATTTCCTCTGAAATCCTCTTTCTGAGTTTGAATTTGGATTCTCTTCTGCTCTGTGTGTGATATTGTGTGTGTTTTATAGTCGCGCTGTGGTGGAGGAACTGGCCGGTTTAGGCGCGTCGGTCCACACCTGTTCCCGGAACGAACTGGAGCTCAACCAGTGCTTGAAGGAATGGGAGGGCAAAGGCTTTGTGGTCAGTGGTTCGGTTTGCGATGCTTCTTCGAGAACACAGAGAGAGAAGCTCGTACAGGAAGTGGCGTCTGCTTTCAATGGCACCCTCAATATTCTGGTCAGTTATAGTATGCCTCTGCCCATTTTAATTTTAGAGAAGCCATTTGCTAACAGTGTTGAAATTGGGTGTTGTTTGGTGCATGGCTTTGGGTTGGGAATTTAAGCCCTGATATCACTTACATTTTTACATTTCAATGCCATTCTAATTCTGCATGTACGTTAGTTTGGACGCTATGAAAGAAAACACATATCTAATATATTAATATGTTGATGGCTTGAACTCCATGAAAGATATCAAAAATGGCAGCAAAGTGAGACAAACTTTAGACCTTGACCAAAATGATGAATTGAAAACACTGAAAAGTGATATAAAGTAAGTCATTACAGGCAGGTGCTATAATTTTTCCATACTTGATGTCCACGAAATATTCAGTGCATTGCAATCAAACAATTGAAACTAGGAACAAGAAGTGATTCAAACCCTCCATTTTGGTAGCAAGAACATCTCGTTGTTGGCTTCATAATGAAAAACATAATTCTAAGGAAGTTGTCTTCCAGGAATTCTAAACCCACCGCCAGTAGATATTGTTCTCTTTGGGCTTTCCCCTCAAGGTTTTTAAAACGCATCTGCTAGGGAGAGGTTTCCACACCCTTATAAAGAATGTTTTGTTCTCTTCTCCAACCGATGTGGGATCTTATAGTTTTTTTGTGTAGGTAAATAATGTGGGAACAAACATTAGGAAGCCAAGTATTGAGTACAGTTTGGAAGAATATTCGACATTGATGACTACAAACTTTGAATCAGTATTTCATCTATCCCAACTTGCTCATCCTCTTTTAAAAGCTTCTGGAAATGGAAGTATTGTGTTTGTTTCTTCGGTTGGTGGTCTCGTGAGCATTGGAAGTGGATCCATCTATGCAGCTTCTAAATGTGAGTTGCTATTGTAGAATTGTAGCTTATTTTCCTTCGTACGTTCTGAGAAGCTCAAAACTGTTCTTTTTTATTTTCTACTCTCAGCTGCCATGAATCAACTGACCAAAAATCTTGCTTGTGAATGGGCCAAGGACAATATCAGGAGCAACACTGTTGCACCTTGGTATACCAATACCTCCCTTGTAGAAAAGGTAATATTTTCAACAACTCCTGCCAGATAATTCACTCATATTAGTTTATTTTTTGCTCTCGTATCCTATGTCTGTCTCCTCGTTTGATTCCTTCTTGTCATTAGACTGACTGACCAAGGCATGAGGCGCTCTGTCATTAATCTCAGTATCTGGGATGCTTTTAATCTGATGCATCTTTCTGTGAAATCTCTATGAATGTCAAATTGATTAATTGAGTCACCTCGGCAAAATATGACTTGGTAACTGTTGTTCAAGCCTGAAAACATATGGTCAATTAATGGCATTATTCTTTCTGTCTTTCTTGTTTATCACGTTTCTGTTTTTGTGCCTTTTTTTCCTGATTGAAGGCTGCCCATGTAAAAAAAAAAAAATGCCCTTTCGTGCGGGTATGAGGATATGAATCTTAGTGTGCACGAACTCGCAATTCTATATTTTTAATAGTGTACATATTGATCCTGAAATTTATTTGTACCAACATCTAGTGACACAACATTTTGCAATTCTATATCTTTGAGTCCGACATCTTTCCATCTTTAGAACGGAAGAACACTGTTGTACAATCTATAGAACAAATCCTGTTCAAATAACGTGGTCTGAGATGGTCCATCTTTGTTGCATGCTTTTGTTTTTTCAGTTCAACCCCTAAACCTGTTGAATGTTAACTAATAACAATGGTTACTATCATCGTAGTTGCTTGATAATAAGACGTTCGTGGACAAGGTAGTCTCTCGAACTCCACTTGGGCGAATAGGGGAATCAAATGAAGTGTCCTCGTTGGTGGCATTCCTTTGCATGCCTGCTGCATCTTACATCACTGGACAGATTATTTCTGTCGATGGAGGGTTCACTGCCAATGGATTTGAGCCTGGTATGAGACTAGACAGCTTGTGAAACACGCTTCTGCTTCTTACATCACTGGGCAGACTATTTCCATAATAATCTTTTATGCTTATCATGTTTTTCTCAACTCTTTCCAGTTTTATGTAAACTCTATTCAATAATTCTAAAATAATTTAATGTTTGGTTTTATTTTTATAAATCTGATTTTGATTTTGAAATATTAAAACATATTTCGTTTTGAATATAACAAAAATAATTTTAAGGATTTCAAATTTGGTAGGTCAACTTTATAATATGACATGTAGGTTTGGTGACTCGAGTCAACATCAAATTAGGATATAATCTATTCTCATATAGTTCAACACATAAAACCTTAATTATTGTTAATGTTGAACTAAAAAAAGTTTATTCCAAGGTCTTATGCACCAGGTAAATATAGAAAATGTTAATACATACTATTTTTATTTTTATTTTTTTATAAAAAATTAACAATAAACTACATTTTAACCTAAACAAATTATACCGTGAAAACATGAGAAATGTACTACAAAAAAAAAATTATTAAAAAAGATTGAATGAGGATTGAATGTGGTTCTGATGCTTGACTTGGTGTATGATCAATTGTTTACAATCTCTAGTTCTCCAATTTGCAGTCAAGCTGCAATGATGCTATGCCATCTACCTTCTTCTAAACTTCAAAAACAACCCACTATGGCACCAAATCTACGCTTTCATATGCTGTACCATCTGACGGCACCAACCAAATGAAGACCAGCGGTTGTGTGCCAAAGCATACATTAATTTGATGCTTTCTTCATCTCTGTCGGTGGGAAATTAGCCTGTGTTTACTCCACTTGCTTCTCATTTTCAGTAATGAGCTGAAGGACTTGTACTTAACTCAGCACATCCTGCAATTTTCGTTTACGAGGGCGTTTTTCACCAACCAGTATCCTATAGCTCGCATGAGGCCCCTCGGATGTATGACGCAGGGTAACATGCCAACCCATCGCCTTTCCAATGGCTTGAAGCTCATCCATGACAGCAATAGTATCACGAATGTATACATGGCCCCCAGGCCTTAAGATCCGTTCCATCTCGAGCATGATTGTCGACATATTGCATCTGATATCAGTAATTAAAGAGAGAAGGAAGTAAGCAACAGAATTTAAAGTGCGAGGAATCATGTCGGTTATGAACCGATCTATACCCATAAGGTGTACCTTTTCATTTCAGATGAAAAAAGACCAGCTGCATGCAATAGATCGTATGTTCTTGGGTATGTATCGAAAGGTTCGCACCTGATAGATACATCACAGAGAAGCTGTCAAACAGCTTGCATTCATTTTCCTATCTATATCTTGGATTAACATGCAGGAAGATTTATGTAATTCATTTATCTAAATTGACTTGGCCATCAAACTACCACTCTGTTAATGTGGTTTGAGAGTCTCCTATGGTAAATATATAGATATATTGTTTGAGCAGTTTTACCAATCATGAAGAACTCCGAGAAGTCCACGGTCATATATAACGGGTAAGGTGTTCGGTCCACTCAGGGGGACGACATTCATCACCCACGAATCCAGTTTATTATCAATTAAAGCTGCAGCAAACCTGCCAAACGATAAAAATAAAGAGTAAATAATGGGAAGATAGAAGGATCCAGCTAGAAGTTTGTATACTAACCCTCCAAATCCAGCTCTCATGTCCATTACATTCCTTAGTCTTATCTTCTTCCAATGTAATACACGCACATAGCTTTCTATAATTTCATTCCAATATTTAGATTCGGCCCTGAAGAGCTCATTTCTAGAAATATAGGCATCATATTGAATGCTCTGAAGCCTATCTGGAGGAGAATGTAAGCGTGCAGGCCATGTCGTGACGTTTCTTCCAAAACCATTTTCTGGCAGCCTGGTAATGCAAGGCTTCAGATCCACATACCTTAACATGACCAAATGTACAAAATCCAACAATTAGAAACATAGTTGTAAGAAAAGTCTTAAACTGTTCTTTTACCCGCTTGTTCAGAACTTACTTGACATACAATATAAATTAAGCATACAAGTGAACTGAGAACTGATCATTTGAGACTTTTTTTATAGGTTTATTTCAAATAAAATGCAACTTTTATCGACAAAGAAGTATACAGTTCGAAAAGAAAGCAGCAAACTGGATTTCTAATAAACTGGGCTGCACTTTCTATTTAGTGAAGAAAAATAAATGTATATTCACCCACGCAACTACCGTATCATCAAAACAAATGAGAATAAAGTATGCATACCAAACTTTATCTGGATCATCATCTACATCACAAAGTGGAGGCTTAACTCCTGAATCACGGCTAAGATAGCAGCTGTTATTCATTGGCTTTTTCCATATTGCTATATACCCATCCTTTTTCACAAACTCCCAGCAGAGACGAGTGGTGAGGTTAATCATCTCTGGTAAGATAAAAAATGAGAGTTGTATTTAATATGGAAAGTTTTGAAGACAAAATCATAAGACCTATAATACTTATAGACTAGAATACGATTGCCATTAAATAGATAGTGGAATAGAGATGTCAAATATAACAGCCCAAATCCATTGCTAACAAATATTGTCATCTTTGGGCTTTCCCTCAATGTTTTTAAAATGCGTCTGCCAGGGAGAGGTTTCCACACCCTTATAAGGGATGCTTCGTTATCGTCTCCAATCCAACCAATGTGAGATCTCACAATCCTCCCCTTTGGGGCCCAGCATCCTCGCTAACACACCACCCGATGTCTGGCTCTAACACCATTTATAACATCCCAAAGCCACTGCTAACAAATATTGTCCTCTTTGGCCTTTCCCATTTGGACTTCCCCTCAATATTTTTAAAACGCGTCTGCTAGGGAGAGGTATCCACACCCTTATAAAGAATGTTTCGTTCTCCTCTCCAACCAATGTGGGATCTCACATCAAATCACCTTACCAACTATCTATATTTTTTATATTGTCATACCAATTTTCTTGAGTTCAGTAGATAGAAACACAAAACAATACTTGAGAGCCAGATTAAACAAACTAGCCAATTACTTTGATGGAGACAAACAGAAAGAGATAAATCGGCTGCAAACGAGGATATAAAAAGACTTCACAAAGTCATTGCAGAACTTGACGACTCTGACTAACCAAAGGCATTAAGTTGGAAGAAATAGCCAACGGATACTAAAGAGCCATAGACAGACCTTCCCACTGCCGCTCCAAGGCTTCTTCATGCTTGTAAACAGGCTGTGCTGCCCAAGCAAAGTATCCTCCCGCCCTTAGCATTCTGTCAACCTCCAGCAACAGAACTCCATCTTAAAGCCAGAAGATTTAAAGAAAATTTGACAATCAGAAGACCTTACAAACAAGAATTCTTCATTGAAAGATGTAACTATACTATTTAATAGATTGGATCAATAAATCTTCAATAGAAAACATAGCATGAATAAACAGATGTTGATAAAGAGGAGTGATGAGAGGATCATACCATCACGAGTCCAATTAATTCTACATCTAGAGCAATGTATTAAGTCAAAAGCTTGACTTGGATACAGTAAACGGCGAGTAGAAAATGCTGCAACCATTGCAGGAACACCACGTTCAAGAGCAAACTGAATCTGGTTCTCATGAACATCTTTGGGAGCAATGGACATTGTTACTACATTCCGTGATAGCAGGTAGGCACCAAAACTCGCAACACCACACCCAATATCCAAAACTACTCGTGTATGGCTACCAAAAGCAACATCAGGAACAATCTATACAACAGACAAGAAGTTAATCATTAGAAAAGAAAAATAACCCAAGAGCTATGTTCAAAGTGCAGCAATTGTCTATTGATTTACCTTAGAGATATGATCCAAGTACTCAGTTGCCCCATGAATGAATTGCGTACCACCTCCAGGGAACCTAAATTTATCTTTGTCCCGGGAGATCCAGTTTTGACCGCCTTTGTCTTCAACCAAACGGGTATGAGGAACATTGCGGAACCACACCTACAACATAGTAAGTTCCAGCTATTAAAACCTTGGGAGACAGTACTATTAAAAGTGACTTGAAATCTTCTACTCTCCACTCCAAGAAAAAAAGAAGTGAAACATAGAATCTGGGTATCAAAGAAACTGTGCAAAAATGAAACTTATAAACTCAAGGTTCTTTGAACAAATCAGTCAACGTTTATGAGCATAAACTATTAAAACTGATGGAAGATCATAACACAAAATAATATAGCAATTAATAGGAAGCATGAAATACAGCCTGCAGGAATACCAGAACATCATTTTTAATAATATAACAGCAGAGCAGCTTACCAATTCAACTAGAATAATGTCAATCAATGACACAAGTCATTTTAATATGAGAATAAGCTTCAAGTTATAATACAGATTAGAAGAAATCTATATACTTCACAAAACAATACCTCATCACGGCTCCTCGGCCAGGGAATGGGCGTCCGGTATCCTTTCGGTGCTGGAACTAAGCAGTTCAATCCCTCACCAACATCAGGGCAGTGGCGCTCAAACTTTTCCCCCTTTTCCGTCGACTTCAGCTTCTTAATGGCAGCCACATTATCCAAGCAAGGTATGTACTCCCCCATGTTCTGCGGGCAAAAAGCAAACTTCTTGATCGTAATCTTGATAGGGCCACTAGTATCCGTCCCATTCTCAATCTCATTCTCCCAATTCTCCGTAAACTCGAGATCTAAATTTCCCACCTCAAACTCGTCAGCCATAGTTCCATTCTCGTTCACGATACCAAATCTGTGCAATGAATTAGATGGCGGAGGTGGCGGAGAAGGAAGCGGCGGCGGATGAGGAGGGAATGAACTGAGAATCGGAGATGCGGTCGGGGCCGGGGCAGAAGAAAGGGCTTTCTCCGGAGCTGCACGGGTTAGATTCTGCTCGATCAGAGAAGAAACATTGAAGGGGTTGTCGTGATTAGGCGACATTGACACTGAAGGAGGGGAATATCGAGTTTCAGTGAAGAAGATGAGCTGTGGGTACCCATCAGACCAATGCTTGCCCAGATAAAAGAAAGAGAGCGATATTAGAATGAAGGCAGAGATCTTGAAGATCGATGGGTTCTTCAGTGAATCGCAATTAGAGAAAGGTTTCATTCTCGTTCACACACCCAAATGGGCAAGAAAGTGAACGGAAAACAGAAAACTGAAGAGATGGGGTTCTCCTTATTCACTGAAACAACCGGAATTACAGAGCTACAGACTCTCCTTTCGCCGGCCAACAGTTGCAAGTTCCGACCGGCAAGGCTTTCGCGGAAAGAAAGGAAGGACGCTGAGAATTACCCGCCACAACTCTGAGGGTTGCAAAGAAATTGAAGATGGTTAGAAGAAAAAGCTTCAAGAGTGAAAACGGCGACTTTGGCCGATCGTGACTCGGATCCCAACCGTGTTTTATTCAGCTATCTCAGTAGGTAATTGACAGAAATAGCACAAAATATTTGGTTTTATATAAAGATCACATTTTTAAGAAATTTGTTCTCATAAATTCTAAAATATTTTGTACAATTCCTAACAATTGTCCCATCCCAATGCCCTTCCTTTTCCTTTTTCTCTTTCTATTTTTTAATACTCAAATTATAATCACAAGTTCAGGGTTAAAAAAAAAAAAAAAAAAAAAAAAATCTAATATATAAATTTGAAAATTATAGACTAAGAAAAAGTTTTTGGTCATTGAATTACATATAAAAGAATTAAAATTTTGTATTTTTCTGTTCGTTTCTTTAAGCAATGCATATTCGTTGCCTTCGTACTCGACTTCAAAATATTTTGATCCAACATCCAAATATTATCAACAAGTGATAATTATATGGTACAACATCAAGGTTCTTCAAATCACCGGTTGAAGTTATCTATCACTTTTGAACAGAAATACACCATTTTTAAGAGCCTAAAACAGTTGAATCCTAGAGAAAGTGAAGCTCTTTCTTCTAGTTCCAAATTATGAACAGATATCAGTCTTTATAATATAGGATTTCTTCCTAATACCCTCTAACCATTAAAGAATGAATGAGTAGATACATGAATGTACATGCATATGGATGAAAGCTAGTCTATGCATTTACAAATGAACCTACCATTTTGAAAGGAGGAGCAGCAGCAGCTAACTAACAAAATTTTGCAGAGGCTACGAATTTATGTGGGCGATTCGGCCAAAAGAAGGGTGTGCCACCATCCACAGGCAACGTTTTTCGGAGTGCAATTCTCCATCGGGACTTCGACGGGAATGTTACGGTCGATTACATCGCCCAAACCTAGCTGCATTGTGTAAATGGAGACTTCTAAGATCCTCAATACCAGATCTGATCTTGGGGAACAACTTATAAACATGCATTCAGACAGAGACCACAAAATATACCTGGCCATACTTGTTCCATCCCCAGCAGAACACTTTCCCATCCTCTAGAGATTGGAGAAACAAGAATGTCAGAACGAATATTGCATAAAAATGTGTATCAACCGATCAAAAGTATCCAAATAGAGTGCAGAAAGTTTAAAACAGTCTAAATATATCATATTTCTTTAGTAGTTCTTGGCGATCATTCGATGAAAAAAAGGTTTATTGTAACAATATCAGCCCACCGCTAACAGATATCGTCTTCTTGAGCTTTTCCTTCCGGTCTTCCACTCAAGATTTTAAAATGCGTCTACTAGGGAGAGATTTTCACACCTTTATAAAGAATGTTTCGTTCCCCTCTCCAGTGGGATCTCACAATCTACCCCCCTTTGAGGCCTAGCGCCGTCGCTAGCACACCGCCTGGTGTCCATCCCCTTTGGGGTTCAGCCTCCTCGCTGACACATTGCCCGGTATCTAACTTTGATACCATTTATAACAGCCGAAACTCATTACTAGCAAATATTGTCCTCTTTAGGCTTTCCCTTTCGGGCTTCCCCTTAAGATTTTTAAAACTAGGGATAGGTTTTCACACCCTTATAAAGAATGCCTACCCTCTCTAACCGAGGTGGGATCTCACATGTATCTTTATTTTTTTCCCGTTCTTTCTACTGGATGTCATTTCTCTCCAAAAAATAATCTTGATGATGACCACTTTTTAGTTTTGGTCTCGGCCAAAATTTTAGCTTTGAACTCTGATACTTATGATTTGTCTCAATTAAACTTGAGTACAGACAATTGAACTTTTTCAACTCTGTAAATTGAAGGCTGGATCTTGTGAATCAGAAAAATGGAAGCCATGTGTAAGAAGATAATGAAGTACCTGATACTATAGCACTATGACGAGCCCCACATGATACAACCTTTGCATTTACATTTTCCACACTTGGTGCGTCTACAAGTCTTGGAAGTGTCTGCATATATGATTGAAAACATCAATTACTTTTTTCTACTTAAGATCGCATACTATCATAGTACTATAATCAATTATGATATGGCATGTTAAGGCAAGCATCGACTACAAAAGCATATACCTCAGATTGACCACCACCCGTTCCTAACTGTCCGAATTGATTACCGCCAAATGAATATACATCACCGTTGGAGGATATACAGACCGTGTGCCACAGTCCAGCAGCGACACTCTCGATCTGGATACCGAGTAATGAGGATACACATGTTGGACTTAACTCGTCATCTGTACATCCTTGCCCACACTGTAAGACATAGATTAAGCCAAGAATATAGCAGCAGCACAAGAAATAGAGATGAAGTATGGGAAAAGGAACAGAAAGAGTTATCTCTTTTTGATTGAACTTGATCTTGATCTACATCTACATATCTTTTTCTCCACCATTTTCTACTTTACCTACAGATTGGTTCTGAAGATTGGTCAATTGTCAGTATAGTTAACTTCAAATCATGTTGGGTTGTAGGAAGGATCAAACTGTTTAACTCAAATTTGTTGGCCTCACATCATACATACAACGAAGCAATAGGAGCTTTCAGTTAAATGGATTATCTTCCAACCGATTTGTTCTAAATCAAATGTTCCAATATCACAGGAATGCATGTTTTGTCATTCAATGGGGTTAATCAGAAGAGGGGGAAGAATAAGATGACACAAAAAGCATTTAGATGGAAAAGGAAAAATATTCCAAGAATATATTCATTGAGGTCCACCATCACTTGAAAATGATTGGATGGTGAAAAACCAGCACAAGAAAGATGCCCAAGTGTTGACTAATTGCAGATTCCTGGTGAAAACCATTAACAAACGAATGCAACAAAAGGTATGCAAAAAATGATAACAAATAAGAAATGGAATGTGTTAGAACGTTGGGGAAGAGATACTGAGAATGAACATAATCATGTAACAAAAGAAAATGAAATTCTCACAATGAAGGTTAGAATGAACGAAAATTAAGCACGTGTTAAAATGACACGATAAATTCACCTGTCCATACAGTCCCCAACCAAACGTTAGCAGTGCCCCCGCATCTGTGTCGTGAAAGATGAGAGGAATATCAAATATGTGAAGTCTATAACTTCAAGTGGACAACATGAAAAACACAGAGGTATAGATTAATCAAACACCAATATTTCATTACAATACGGAAATTGATGCATAAAACATGATCTCTGAGGTCTTATAGAGAAACATACTCTCGATGTTCAAAAGGTGCAAGTTCTTGCAGTCTTAATTTCATTAATCTACCAATCAAAACTATATGATCCGAAATTACAAGTACAGATTAATGTTTATGCACCCACAATTATATTAGAAGAACAAACATCACAAACCTGTAACTGCTGCACTATGACGCCCTCCACAAGCAATTCCCTTCACATAGCTTCCAGGAATTCTACTACCCTGACCCTCTAAGCTTGCACTTCCTCGAGCGAGAGCTGTTGGTCTATCTTTGCCAAAAGAAGACGACTGAATGCAAGGTATAGGATGTGGAGAGGAAACCATACGTATGTGGGAGCCCAAACCTAGCTGTCCTTCTCCACCATAGCCCCAACCCCAGACTTGTCCCATATCTGAAACTTTGAAGACATTAGGCAAAGGCAATAGGCTACAAATCTCAAAATTTATTACGGGAACAAGTGGACAATATCAATACTTTATATATCAGGATTACCTGACAACGCGAGTGTATGACGCCCTCCTGCAGAAACAGAGGCTATTCTTACACCAGGATTAAGAGTAACAAGACAGGGAAGTGCAGAGAGAGTGTCATCACTTGCTGACGAACTTTCATCTGCAAGTTTTGCTGATGAAAGCCTTCTCCTCTTTGAACTTTCTGTGCGACCACCTCTAGCTTCAATATTGGAAAAAACAGCACCAGCAGATGGTGAAGCTTGTAAGTGAGGGCTCACTGACACAAAGAACATGAAAAGTCAGAGAGAAAAACTTTGAAAAACCTCTTATCATATTTAAATTCGTGCAGTACATTGATCTATCACGGACGCTGACTGCCTCTCTAATACATCCCTTTCATAGCCAATCCCAACAGACAGATCACCAAAGATCTTTCCAGAAGGAACACATTCTTTCCATCCCCATGTGTAAACTTCTCCTCTGTCTGCACATAAACAGTTAAAAAAACACTAGAACAGATCAATTGGCATTACAATATTCCTAGTGTATCTCACTCTTCAAAAATCTCTGAATAAGCAAAAAGACTCAAAAGAGAAGAAATGGTTTACCTGTAATGGCAGCACAATGGGCCCAACCTGCGGCTGCTTTTACTATAGAAGTTTCGGTTGGAAGAGGAAAAGGCTCTGGAGTTTCCTTGAGAAGAAAATTGAAATATGGCGGCAGGTGAGTTCATTAAGAACTAAAAGTAAAATCATTGTAATTCAATGAACATTGTGTATGGCTTATACCCCATGCTTCCCAGACGTCACATAGCTTTGACCAAGATCATCTGTTGAGCCCCATGTTATGAGTTTTCCAGATGCTGGTTAAATGAGGAAAACATAAGACTAAATATCAAATAAAAGAAAGAATTGCATTGGAGAAACTATATAATCCAATATCAGCAATCATTGAAGACAATAAACATTAGGATCATTAGTTAAATGAAATGTTGAGTAAATAATAAAACCCAAAATGTAATCAACAGAACTAAACAGATCAAGTACTGAAAAGACATTCAGAGGTACGGTTTTCAAACTTTTTTTTATTTAAAGAAAAAAAAAAACCACCCTAGAACAAACATCCACTTCCT